GTGTGTGTGTGTGTGTGTGTGTGTGTGTGTGTGTGTGTGTGTGTGTGACTTTGAGTAATGAACAGTCTGTTGAACATCCTCCCTCTCGCTTCCTTCCCCTTCCCCCCTACCCTCCTCCCCTCTCCGGTTTAGCATACACTTGGTTGGATGTTTGCTGTGCCAGCCCTGGGGCTGGGCTCTGGGGATACAGTAGTTCTTCAACTGGAAATAAGTAAGAAGGAAAAAAAAAAAAAAAAAAAAGGAAATGAGTAGACTCCTTGGGAAACTTTCATGCATCATGCCTCAGGAGACTTTAGGTGTGTATGTGCACCGATGAGGTAAATCTGACATTAACTTCTTAAATTGAAAATATCCTGAGATTTAAAGTCAAATCTTTGTTTTTGTTTGAACATCATAATATTTAGGAGTTGTTTTGGTTTAAAAGTATTTTAAATTTGAATTAAAAGTTGGGGGTGGATCTCTCTGTATCTCTTCAACATAGTACTTGAAGTCCTAGCTAGAGCAATAAGACAACTAAAGGAGATCAAGGGGATACAAATTGGAAAGGAAGAAGTCAAAGTATCACTATTGGCAGATGATATGATAACATACATGAACGACCCCAAAAATTCAACCAGGGAACTCCTACAGCTGATAAACAAGTTCAGCAAAGTGGCTGGATACAAAATTAACTAAAAAAAAAAAAAAAATCAGTAGCCCTCCTGTATATCAAAGACAAAAGGCCAAGAAAAAATTTAGGGAAACTACACCCTTCACAATAGCCACTAATAACATAAAGTACCTTGGTGTGACTCTGACCAAGCAAGTGAAAGACCTGTTCCAAAAAAACCAGGTCTCTGAAGAAAGAAATCGAAGAAGACATCAGAAGATGGAAAGATCTCTGTGCTCATGGATTGGTGGATTGGTAGGATTAACATAGTGAAAATGGCCATTCTGCCAAAAGCAACCTACAGATTCAATGCAATTCCCATTAAGATGCCTTTCTTTACCTTGAAGATACATCAAGATACAATTCTTTACCTTGAAAGAAAAATTCTCAACTTCATATGGAATAACAAGAAACCCAGAATTGCTAAAATGGTCCTGTGTACAACAACAGATCGTCTGGAGGTATCTCCATCCCTGATCTCAAGCTGTACTATAGAGCAATAGTAATAAAAACTGCATGGTACTGGCTTAGAAACAGAATGGTGGATCAATGGAACCGAACAAAAGACCCAGAAATAAACCCACACACCTATGGATACTTGATTTTTTACCAAGAAGCCAAAATCATAGAATGGAAAAATAGACAGCATCTTCAACAAATGATGCTGGTCTAATTAGATGTCTAGATGTAGAAAAATGTAAATAGATCCATATTTATCACCCTGCACAAAACTAAAGTCCAAGTGGATCAAAGACCTCAATATAAACCAAACACACTAAATTCCTAAGAAGAAAAAGTGGAAAGAGCCTAGAACTCATTGGCACAGGAGACAAGTTCCTGAACAGAACACCAACGGCACAGGCTCTATGATCAACAATCAATAAATGAACGTCATGAAACTGAAAAGCTTCTGTAAAGCAAAGGACACTGTCATCAGAACAAAATGACAGCCTACAGACTGGGAAAGCACCTTCACCAGAGGGCTAATATCCAGAATATATAAAGAACTCAAGAAGTTAAAAAGCAACAAATCAAGTAATTCAATTAAAAATGGGGTACAGAGCTAAAGAGAGAATTCTCTGCAGAGGAATACTGAATTGCAGAGAAACACTTAAATGCTCAATGTTCTTAGTCATCAGGAAAATGCAAACCAAAATGACCCTGAGATTTTACCTTACACCCATCAGAATGGTTAAGATAAAAAACTCAAGTGACAACACATGCTGGAAAGGATGTGGAGAAAGGGGAACTCTCTTCCCTTGTTGGTGGGAATGCAAACTTGCACAAACACTTTGGAAATCAATCTGATGCTTTCTCAGACAATCAGGAATAGTACTACCTCAAGATCCAGCTATAGCACAACTAGGCATATATCCAAAAGATGCTCAAGTATACAAGGACATTTGTTCAACCATGTTCTTAGCAGCGTTATTTGTAATAGCCAGAAGTTGGAAACAACCCCGATGTCTCTCAGTCGAGGAATGGAAACAGAATTTGTGGTACATTTATACAATGGAATACTACTCAGCAATTAAAAACAAGGAAATCATTAAATTTTCAGGCAAATGGTGGGGTCTAGAAAAGATCATCCTGAGTGAGCGATCCCAGAAGCAGAAAGACAACACATGGTATTTACTCACTTATAAGTGGCTATTAGACGTATAACATAGGATAAACATATGAAAATCTGTACACCTAAAGAAGCTAAGCAAGAAGGAGGACCCTGGGTAAGATGTGTAAGATCCTTACACAGAAAGACAAACAGGATGGACATTGGAAGAAGGAGAAAACAGGGAACAGGACAGGAGCCTACCACAGAGGGCCTTGAAAGACTCTACCCAGAAGTGTATCAAAGCAGATGCTGAGATTCATAGCCAAAGTTTGGGCAGAGTGCAGGGTATCTAATGAAAGAAGGGGGAGGTGACAAGAGCTCCACAAGGAGGGCAACAGAACCAAAATATCTGGGCACAGGGGTCTTTTCTGAGACTGATACTCCAACTAAAGACCATTCATGGATATAACCTAGAACTCCTGCTCAGATGTAGCCCATGGCAGCTCAGTATCCAAGTGGGTACCCTAGTAAGGGGAACAGGGGCTGTCTCCTACAGGAACTCAGTGGCTGGCTCTTTGATCACGTCCCCCTTGCCAGGTCACAGAGGAAGACAATGCAGCCAATCTTGATGAAACCTGATAAGCTAGGATCAGAAGGAAGGAGAGGAGGACCTCTCCTATCAGTGGACTTGAAGAGGGGCATGGCAGGAGATGAGGGAGGGAGCTACAGCTGGGATTCAAAGTGAATAAATGGAAATTAATATAAAAAATAAAAATGAAAAAATAATTCTAAAAAAATATGCACAGACCTTGGGCCTCTACATATGTTTGGAATATGCCCGAGTCTACCAGGGAGTATAGCAGAGTATCCCAGAGAGCTTTGCTTCTTTTCCCTCATGGTGGTGTGGCTGGCCGCAGGGCCCAGCAACAAGCCACTGAAGGTCAACCGTGATAAATCAAAAGCCATTCGCCCTCTGCAGGCGGGTTTTGCAGTCTCTGCCCTTCATTTAAGTGTAACAGAATAGTATGTATTGTTTTGTGTCTGTCTTTGGTTAAATATATTTGTGATTTTCATCTGTAGTAAGTATCCAAGATTGTGATTTAAAATTTTACTTAGCACTTGGTTATTTCCTTACTGGTCTGACAACTTCACACAGGTGTCTAATGTATAATGTCACAGTTGCCTCTCCCACTACTTTCTCACGTCTACCCTTCTTCTTCCTAGCAAGTTACTCTATTTTCACATATTTTTCTTCTCTTTCGGTGACACGCTGAGTTTAAGTAGGATGCCCGCAAGCACATGTAACCACAGCTGCTGTGAGTTCACGAGTGACACAGCTATGCCACATTTAGAAGATAGCACTTTACAGTATTCCTTCCAATTCTTTCTACTGTGTTTCCTGATCCGGGGTCCCCTGGGATATAGGTGTACCTTTCAGGGCTCATCGCTCAATAGCCACTTATTCTCGTCAGAGTTTCTGTACTAACCTCTGCAAACAGAAGCGTCTCTGACGAAAGGCCGAGAGCAGCACTCATCTATGGGTATAAACAGAAGTCCTTAGAAGGCAGCTTGGCAGCATGTTTATTTAGCAAAACAGAGGTATGTTTTCTTATAGGGTCCTTAGCCACGGGCTATTGACCAGCTGCACCAGACAGGAATTCCACCGTGTGGCAGAGGCTATCAGTAAGCTAATGTGTGTCCCCGTAACCTTCAGGTCACTGTTGTGCCAGTGGGCACATCTTGCCTGACGTTCTGGCAATATACCATTCAGGGTCTACAGCTGGGCAAGTCTGTTGATGGCTTTCCTCTCCCAGAAGCCTGCATCTCACCCTGCAGGCCTGTAAAAGCTCCAGCCAGCAAGGAGGAACTTCCCAGGTGATGTATGGTTTGACCTGTTGCTTTCTGAGCCAAAGGTGTGGTATTTTCAGCAACAGGGTCTTACCACGCACTTCTGGTGGGCAGCCAAGAGTGATAACAGACTGTGTCACCTCGGGGATTTCCGAACCTCTATTTCCAACAAGGCACACAGAAATAGCCACAGAAGTCTCCCACACTTGTCACTTGGATTTTCGCTTAATAACCCATGTCTTCTGGGAGGAGTATTATCTACCCATGCAGGGTACCTAAAAGGGGATTTCTGAGACAGAACTTTAAGCTTCAGACGAGACCTTGACAGGTTTTTAAGTAAGATGTGTGTGTGTGTCTGTGTGTGTGTGTGTGTGTCTCTGTGTGTGTGTGTGTGTGAGAGAGAGAGAGAGAGAGAGAGAGAGGTACAGGTGGCACATGTGTGCTCAGAGGAGAACTTCGTGGGTATCTGCTGTCCTTCCACCTTGATCTGAGGCATGGTTTCTCATTGTCACTGCACTGCCTATGCAAGCTTCTACCCGACCCCCATCTCTGCCTCCCGTCTCGCCAGAGGGGTGCTGAGACGACAGACGTGAGTCACATCCGGGTTTTCAGGTGGGTTCTGGGGGGTCAAACTCAGGTCATCAGCGCTTGTGTGGCAAGCGCTATCTCACTAGCC